CCAACAGACCTGCGGGCGCCGGCGGACGGAGACACGATACGCGCCGCGGCTGCACCCAGTCGGTGACCTTCCGTGCACGACGGCCGATCCCAGCCGTGCAATGCCAATCGGTATCGGAAACTGCCGGCAGACATGCCGCCGGTCGCGGTCACCATCTGGGAAGTGCGCCCCACACGCGGTGACGCCTCAGGCTTCGACAAGCGCTCTCCATCCTCCTTAACAGGAGTGGCTTTTGTACGTCACGTGTATTTCCATACAAATGTGGCGGCCACGACGGTTGTTTGCTGTGGGCGCATGAATTAGTGACGGGGTGGGTGGGGCTGTCGCCGCCGCCGCCGCCGCCGCCGCCCATCGGGGCGGGGCGGGGCGGGGCGGGGCGGGGCGGGGCGGGGCGGGGCGGGGCGGGGCGGGGCGGGGCGGGGCGGGGCGGGGCGGGCGGAGACGGCGGCCCGGGCGGCGGCGCAGAGGTGCCGGCTCTGGTGCGTTTTTGCCGGCTGGCTCGGCCCGGGTCAGACTGGCACGAGGCCAAATCACCGCCACCGCCGCTGCGCCGCCGCGTCTCGCACGGACACGGTACACCAGCATCAGGACCAGCGCCGGCACCACGGCCACCATCACCAGTGGCGGCGGCGGCGGCGACCGGCCGCAGAGGGCGGCGGCCGGCGGTCCTCGGCCCGGCCCGGCCCAGACGATATCCATCAAAGCGGAGCACTCTGGTCAAGGCCGGGCGCCGTTTGGGCCCTCCGACAGGCTGCAGGCCGGCCGGCCCGGTCGCCGCCGCCCGTCCCCAGGACCGCGGCTCGGCGGCGGGGGTCGGCCCGCCGGCCCGGACAGACCGCCCGCCAGCTATGGCTGCCGCCCGGGGCCGTGTTACCGAGCAGATGACCACCCGCCCAAAACAGCGCGACGACGCTCTCCCGATTAAATAACTTGCAGCGATTCGTCGTTGGACGGCCGCGGAGAGACTCGCTTAGGCTTGTTTAACAGGCCGGCACTTGTGCTAATACGATTAGGAAGCCCTTCCACACTGTTAATGTGACTGAGGAGATAACGCCACCTTATATGTGAACAAATGATGAAGTAAGTGCCTAAGCGACCATAAGCGGAATGCATGATAAAGAACAATTATGATGCAGTAAAGGCATGTCTGAGGCCGGCAAAACATCGCAATTAGCCGGTAGATTAGCACACGCTAACTATTTCAACAAGTGCGGCTTTGCCCCGACTGGTATGCCGACCACTCCTCATTAGCAGCTAGCCCGTCCAGTGGGACGATCAACACCGGCGGTCAGCTTGGCACACAGGAAGCGCCATACCGCCGCGCCCAAACGTCTCACCACTTCCCGAAAGACCGACTCGCCCGGCCGCCCGGCCCCCCGCGACTGGCCGAGGCCTGTTAATGGCGCAGTAAAAGAACGGGATTCGGTTTATAGCGACATACCGCTCACATGCAACCGTCTGACGCGACTGGGACCCGGTGACACCGGCATGTCGGGCATTCTTCCCGGAACGTCTTCGGCCGTCTCCGGCCCGCCTCCGATGGCCGCGATGGGCCGTGTATGTATGTGTGAGTAGCCGGCGGGGCTCGTCTTCCCACCGATCAATACGCAGTTTGGTGGTGGCCCGCCGGCGAAGGGCGGCACCGACCCCCAAGGTCAGGAGGTGACCCGGTGACATGACCGGGGTCAGTTGCAGAGGCGGTTTTATGTAGGTCTCGTTGGTCAGCCGTGGATGGTTTGAGGTCAAAGCTGGGTTAACATGCGACCTGGCGTGAGGTGGCCTTCTAGTCGTGTCACTGTCAAGTCAATCAACAAGTGAGCATTAAATTATCAAAATTTAAGCATTTATTATCTTAGCTCCACATTATATTTTATGATATTCTACACTATACATTATCTATTTACAAACATTTACATTTATCATACATGTAACTTCTTCTATTAATTTATTGCAGCACACTGTGCGCAGAATCGGCGTTATCTACCAGTCTCAGCGTTCGGCAGACATTCGTCAGCCCGCTCCCTGTAAGACCAAATCGAACAATTTAAAACAAAATCGTGGAACATATCTCACTCAGACCAGTAGACGCATTACATTGCTTAATATAATAACAGCTTTGAATTGGCCATTGCGTTCGCTACGATCTATTAATATCTGATTAAACTGCGGACAGAACTCATAAAACATTACTTCAAAAGATTAACTCAAGCTTAAGGGCTGAGCAGTGCAGGTTCTTAATAGCCAGGGACGCATTGTGCGCTTTATTTTGGCAGCTACATGACGATTGCAGTACCAAGATAAGCTATAAGTGGTTCGTTTAGTGAGCTAGTTAGCTGAGCATGGCTATGTCGCAAGAGAATTCAAAGAAAGCTATGATAGGCAAATTAGTGCAGTGCATGTAATCCGGGATTGAATTTCTAAATGAATATCACATCAAAAATTGACCTATACCATTTGGCCGTTCATCATTCTTTCCTATTGAGACGTGATCGGTGAGAAAAGGTCTCCTTCCGGTCCCGCCCCCGCGGTTTAACACGCGGAAAATGTGCCGACAGCGATTAATGAATGGCAGACCTTTGGACCGGAGACAGTCGGCGATAGTCGCCAAACGAATGTCGGACAACCGAGTCCATCACATTTTTGCTGATGGGGCGGTCGGCGGCGGCGACCGCCGGCGGCCGGTCGAGACGCCGGCCCGATACCCAGCCGTCGGGCATTTTTCACATGGCTGGCCGGCCATCGGACGCGACGTGGCCCTTCAGAGCCACAGCTTGTTTGGTCGAGCTGTTTCGGCGGCCCGGCCCCGGCGGTCGGCGCGCCCCCGGCGCCGGCAGCCCCTCCCCGGCCCCGCTGCTCCGCCGCCGGCCCGCCCCGACGACCGATTAATATTCACTGCGGAGGAGCGTCGGACGCCGACGCAGGGCGCAACAGACGCGCTGCCGACGCACGCAGAGCGCTGCGACCGACACGCGGACACAGCCGAACTGTGATTTTGAACTTGCGAGCACGCGCGCGGACGCTGCCCGCACTGTTTGTCGACAGGACAGGCTGACAAACGCAGGCTGTTTGTTGAGCCGCGCGACTCCCGAGGGTTGTAGAATGCAGGGGTTGAGCCGGCAAATTGGGGCTTTGGGAGGGAGCCGTCTACAATAGAGGGGTAAAAAGGGACCGTGAGAGCGCTTCAGGAGGGGACGCCGCTGTCACCGGCCGCTCCGTCAAAGGCTCGCGGCACGCAGCTCCTAACGGGGTGCGGCGAAGGGAGCCCGGTGTCGCTAGGGCGGCGAAAGGAGTCCACTGAGGCCCGCACAGCCCGGCACGCACCGTCTGCACACAGCAACGGATCAGTGGCCCCACTGGAAGCCTTACGTGGACCATTTAGCACGCACAGCAACAGCGCAACGGTCCTCCTGGAGCTCTGTAGCACGTTTGACACGCACGGCGCATCGCCTGTACTTACACGGTACCGAGCGACCCTGCTCGACGCAACACGCAACAGTCGCTATGCCAACAGCCGCATGTCATGCCCATCGGTGTAGTTAGCTGCAGCGGCGCTGAGACGTAAGCTCATCCAAATCCGCCCGTCTCTTCTCGTCACCGCCTGGAGCGGAGGCGGCATGCGGTGGGCGCTATTTCGGCCGTGTCGCAGTCTGGTCATGACGTCACTGGGGTGCCATCATGACGTCACTGGTGTGATGTCGGTAATTGGCCGGAGACGCCCATTGTTTGCAGCCGACGGCTAAATTCGGCACCCCGACGCGTCACGTCTGGTCACCTCCCGCCGGGAGCGGGGGTGGGGGCGAGATGGGACCGGATCGGGCGGGGCGGGCGCCTCCCGTTTGCGGACCGATCATAAATGGTGACCGGACCGTCATCACCATGTCTGGCCCCCTCAATCAGCGTCGGCCCGCCCCTCCGCGGTGGTCACTAACAGAGTTACCGTGTTGCGGCCTATCAGCCGGCCGCGCGGCGCCCACCGCTGCACCTTTGGCTGTGTCACACTGACTAGCAGGCGCTATCGGGAGACAAACCCAACCGGTCAGTACGTGTACCTAACCGCGACACCCGCATGGTTAACATGCACGTGCATATGTAGAGCACAATGGTCACCGGACCAGCCAGTGACCGCCTGTCAGTAGCACCCGCCGCACCGCGCACAGCCTCTTGAAGCTCCAGGACCACAACGAAGACGAAGACGGTCGATAGACGACAGACAGACACACAGACAGACAGACAGACAGACAGACAGACAGACAGACAGACAGACAGACAGACATACAGACAAACAGACAGACAGACAGACAGACAGATAGACAGACAGACAGATAGGCAGACAGACAGATAGATAACAGACGGAATTGGTGAAGCACCGGCTACAAGGTCGGCCTTCACGGCTCATAGAACCCTTATCGGTATCGGGAAGCTTCTTATCAGTTAGGTGGAGACTCAAAGGACGGTCACAAGAGTCAAAAGGGTAGTACGATAAAACCAATGATATGAAAGATAGTACCAGATACACTGATTGTGCCTGCAGCAATTCAGGAGCGATAAGCTTATCGACACATTATTTGTATTAGGTAATACACGGAAATATCGGGATGGATTTGGATAAGAACGCACTGAAAGATGATAAGGACATACAGAGGGAACTTCTTAAAAACGGGGACCACCCGGGCAGCCAGGTCATCGTGTACGAGCCCTCGCACGCCGTCAATGACTGCAGCCCACCGCAGGAGCCGTAACTGACTGAGAGGCACCATACCGCCGCCAACGGAACGGTAAACGAGACCGGATGGCCCACTCCCATTTAGTGCTCGGCCTGAACGTATTACTGACCCCAACGCGCTCAGTAGACACATAACTTAGACTAAAGACCCGTCCACGGACTGTCTACCCCGTGGGCGAGCTGTGTCATTTTGTCTGATTTCGTCTGGCCCCGCCGCCCCGACGCCCTCCCGCACACCCCGTGCTCCAGCCGTTAACCGCCCCCGGCTCTCCACCAGGTCCGAAATACAACCGGAGTCGACTGATGGAGTTTTACCGCGGCAACGAGACGCAGCTGGAGGAGCTGCGCGTGCGCTCCTCCTACCTGTGGGTGGAGATGACACTACGCGACGACATCCGGCGCGGCCTGCGGCATATGCGCCGCCGGCGCCGGCAGCGCAGCCGCGTCACCATCTACGTGTTCCGCGTGCTCGAGAAGGGCGAGCGCAGCGCAGCGGTGAGTGGTGAAACGAGTCTGAGTCACCGAATGGTCACTTATACTGAACTGATTACGGCGTCATCGTGACCCATCAGATCATCATCTACAAGTGCACACCCAACACAAACAGGCTAGAGCTCACCCCTTGATTCTAAAATATCCTACCTCAGCCTACCGTTCCCTTTTTGACAATGGTCTTCCCTCGCTTTAGTATGCTGACTAGATTTATCACAACGTGGCTTCCCTGACTATGTTCTCTATTCTAACTCAGCTGGCCCTAACATTCCCTACCCTAAACCTGTTACTCTTTTGACCCCGCTCCCTTGTTCCTGTCATCTCGACCTTGACCTCCCCTGGCCCCGACCTCCCCTGGCCCCGACCTCCCCTGACCTTGCTTAAGCCTATGTGGTCCTGACCTTCATGACTAATTGTCGTTTATCGAATTATTAGTGACCAATAATCAGACTATCTCATAGCAATGCCGATTAGCTGACCCGAGATGGCCTTGGCCTACGATCGACCTGAGCTGACGTGCCCACCGTTCAGTCTGACGGTAACTCGGACCCCAGTGGCAGTGGGCACGTTTTCGCTCGACTGTCCAGAACGTGTCCAGAAGACCCGCCCACCGCAGCTGGCCGGCCGCGTGGGCGGCTCCCCAGAGGACACTCACGTCCATGAACCCATGCAGACCGTCATTGAGCGCCGCGGACGAGGGCCGACACTCACCGCATTGGTCGCTGTCGCCGGCGACGGCGGGGGTCAGGGGCGACGCGGCGATGGGGCGGGGGCGCTGACGACCCGTTACGACCGCGTAACGGGCCGCTACAGCCGCCGCTCGGGCCCATGTGACAGCCGTGAAGTTTAATGCCTGTGTTAGGGCCGGACGGCTGCACAGAGGTCCGGCGAGCGCCGCCACTTCATTTGGCTCGTTGGCCGTGTCGCGACCAATAACTGTGCTGACATGTCACAGCGACCCGGCGGGAGCGGCCCGAGCCGGCCGGCCTTTCGCTTCATCAGACATATTTAGATCCAGGTGTCTGGGTCACTGACATTAATAACACCGTGACCAGTGTCCACTGCAAGTCGCCCGCTCAGTGACAAGATGCAAGATGCACTTGCACATCCAAGTTGCGGTCGGATCGAACCATCAACGCTCCGTTGTAGATAGCCCTTATAAAGCGTGTACCCAAACATCCCAATCAGACAAATTGACGGCATTTGTAAAACGGCTCGTGCTATCTTTAAAACCGATCACTGAACATATATCGCAGCTCTAGGGCTAATAATAAAACGGTAGCGTAGAGCTGAGCAGAGTCGCCGCTGCTGCTGTCTGTCTCTAGGGACCAGTGAACCCATTACTCCCACTCCGTCCCCCGCCCAGGGGCGCTGGCTGTCCAGCCATGGTCTCCTAGATAAGAGGGGCTTCGACAGACGGACCTGATCGCTGTCTCAGGCCGTCTGGTCCGTCTGTCTATCTGAGAGGACAGTCTGCTGTGTCCCGATCTCTAAGGTCTTCTCTGTTTCAGTCCGAGCAAGAACGGTCTCCCGTGAATGGGGCAAGAGCAGGGACGGTCTCCCGTGTCCGGTCACGTCCACCTGAGTTCACCGGTAGCTCCGGGGAGACCCGCTGCCGGCGGTTTCCGGCCGTATCTCTGTTCTGACCGCCCCAACGCCTTCCGGCGAGCCCGCCGCGCGGCCCAGACACGTCTGGAGTGGCCGGCACGCGTCAGTCGGCGCCAAACCGGCCGACTCGGCCGCGGGCGGGGGCGGCGGCGGCGGCGGCGGCGGCTCTCACTGCCGCCCCCGCCGCGGCGAGAGTCGATGAGGCGGACTGGGCCGGTGGCCCGCGGCGCCAGCTCCGCCACGCAGATTACCATTTTATTTTCAACGTCTCGAAGACGGCGCCAGCGGTGTGTCAATTTCCGTCGGACGGCTTTGAATCGGCTCGGCGCGGCACCTCACCGAGCCGGCGCTCGCGGCTGAGCACGTGCCGCTGCACTGGGCCGGCGGCGCCGGGCGGCAGACAGATCAGCCGGTCCGTCAGGCGGCCGCCCTGTATGGTGAACCGCCGCCGGCATAACTGCCGCACGAGAAATACGATAGTGCGATACAAAAATGCCGCCCGATGCAGGGGCGACGTGGGCGTCGGTCCGGCGTCCGGCGAGAGAACGACTACGGAGGTCCTTTTGGAGCCTTACGGCCTGAAAATGAGCCATTGCGTTCCGTGTGCTGAGCACAAATGGCCTGCCTCGTGCACTATGGCGTGCGAACGTAATCTCAGACACATGCGAAGAAGATGGTGCGCCGGTGAATCTGCATCTGAGGCCCGACGGAGGGCAGGCGCGGCGCACGAGAGAGCACACCCCGGCCGCCCACGGCGCTCCCGGGGCGTGGGGCCGGCACGGCCAGGCGGCACTGTGGGAACCGTCCGGACGGTCACTGCAGGCACGAGCTTAACAACTAGCGCATGTATGCGACTCCCGATAGTCAGACTACAATCTGATACTCTCACCTCAGGTATCACTCGATCATTGCCACAACACGCATCACTGAAGGCATGCCAGTCTACCGTTACGTAACGATGACTCTCAACAATCGCACTGCACACGCACAGTGCACAGCCCCGACCTCAGGCAGCAGACGACTGACCGTCGCCAGTATGCGCCCCGTGTCACTGACCAACTGCACCACCCTGATCTGATGACCTCTGTCCGCAGGCAAAGCACGGTCGGCCACAGCTGGTAGCGAAGCGCCGCGTGCGCCTAGAGAAGGTCGGCTGGCACCGGTTCAACCTCAAGTCGGCCGCGCAAGACTGGTTCGACCTGAGTCCGGACCGGCCGCTGCGACTGTTAGTGGACTGCGTCGGATGTAAATCATATGTAAAAAGCAAGTTCTTTCAGCAGGGCAGTGACTCGTCTAGTGTTCCTTTCATTAAGATCCGGACGCAGCCGGTGCCGGCGCGGCGCGTGCGGCGCGCGGCGCTCGACTGCGGCGAGAGCGTCACCCACTGTTGCCGGCAGCGGCTCTACGTCAGCTTCCGCGAGCTGCGCTGGGACGACTGGGTTCTCTTCCCCAGCGGCTACTACGCCAACTACTGTCTGGGCAACTGCCAAAGTCGCACGCCCGACACATTCCGAAACTTCCACACCCACGTCATCGAGGGCTACCGACAGCGAGCCGGCGAGCTGCAGGACTTCAACCCGTGCTGCGCGCCCACCAAGCTCTCCCCCATGTCGCTCCTCTACTTCGACGCCGACAAGAACATCATCAAGCGCGACCTGCCCAAGATGGTGGTCGAGGAGTGCGGCTGCATGTGAGCGAGCCACAGCAGCCCCTGTGATATTACACGCTATATCAAATACACTGCCGGCGCCGGCCGCCGGCCCCGGCGCCGCCGCGCGCCCCGGGCACCCCCGGTGCGCCGCCCGCCCCCAGGCCGGTTTAACCGCTGCCACGGGACTCAATCTAGTCTGGACTTTTGTAAATAGTCGACGTGTTGGAGCGTGTATTAACTCGATTCGGTGCCCTTTGAGGATGGCTTGTGTCCACTAAGCACACTTCTTTCCAACCAGTTGGGTTCGCCGGCCGGCCGGCCAGCGTCGGCCGCTGTTGTCTTTCAGTGCAATCGGCCAGAGGTGCGCCCGCGGTGGCGGCCCGCCGCGCCCCCGTGGGCTGTGGCTCGATGGCGATGTCATGTGCGCGGTGTGCTGTTGGCCTTTGTTCGCGCGGCGCGCGTCGCGAGCCGCCGCGTCGGCGTGCGGGGCCGTCTTCAGGTGTGTCCATAAGGGGGCCGCGGTCCGCCGTCGGCCGCCGGCCGCGCCGCGGCTGTGACCGAACTATGCGCGACCGCGCGCGCAGCGGCGCCGCTTCGTGTCCCGTACCCGCTTGGTGATTGTACAGTGTTGTTGAGCCGCCGCGCCCGGTCGACTGGTCCCCGGGAATGAATTTTCCGTCACATGTGTCGGCAGGCCGTCAGACAGCGTCCGGCCAGTGACGTGGCGCAATGTTTGGGACAAAAATGGCACGAAATTCATTTATTGCGGATGTTGGCTGACATATTGCGAAAAGGCAACTATATGTCAACGCACTCAGGAACATTAGAATCTCGGCCGCCACAATTGTAGTGGTGGTTCAAGGAGGTGGCTACTGGCTTGGTTCTTTTCAAAGGGTGCGCAGCGCCCTGCTCAAACTGTCTCGGAGCAACATCCACATTCCATGTTTTAACATTCCATTTTCTGAACTTCGCTGGACGGAAGAGATAGCTTTAGTAATGGTTTTATAACGGTGAGTGCGAATGTAGGATGAGTGATCGGCCGGATTGTTCAGCACAACTGCTTAAAAGCTAATCGGATACATCTCAATATTAGAATCTCATTTTGTTCCCCGTAGAACTTCTCACACAGTAGCTACTCATGGCCGGCAGTCAGCGTACCCGCGATATTACGACCCTGAGAATCGTGTGCTATAATTTGGACACTGGACGACACTCCGTCTACATACCGCCGAAGGCAAGCGACCCACAGAATGTAGCTGATATTTATTTGTAGCCTGTATTTTGTGCGCGGCCGCCGTTGCTCGTCGGCGGCCCCGGAGCTGGCGCCGCCCGCCCGTCCGTCTCTCTCCGTCTGTCTGTCTGTCTGTTTGTCTGTCTGTCTGTCGGCGTGTCTGTGGGTGGCTGTGTGTGAGCGGCCCGTCACCGCGCCACGCCGGCCTGCACGCGCCGGGCATTGCGCTGCCAGTGGCCGGCCAGCCAGGAAACTCCAGGGTCCCTGAGCCAGTAGGGTGTGAGGTTAAATATGTGCCAAGTTTGATCAATAAAACAGCATCAAGTCTGCGTGGCTCTGCTATCCCAGTGATGTCCCAGACTCGGGGGATCAGTGAACGATATGCGACCGTTCGGGGAAGGATTGATGAAGAATGGAAGCGGAGTTCAGTCGACAACGCATAAAACCCACGCTTGAGCAGTCATTTTCAACCATCTTCTTCTTTAAACGGATAGCAACGATTCAAAGCACGGCGGAAGCCCGACCACGATCCGACCAGTAGCCATATTGCATACTTTGAGGAGCACTACACTATGCTGGGTAGGTAGTGTCATCACATGGACCGCCGTACCTCACCTAAAAACGACTTCCAGATAGGCTACGTCGAGTACCGAACAACTCGTATCGTCTCGCCGTCATTCCCGTTGCGGATGCTGGGCGCGGGAGCGGTCCACGGCCCTGGCAGGTGCGAACACCGGGACTGCGATGCCGCACAGTGGCGTATACCGACAGGCGACGGTGCCACCCCGTCTGAGCACAGGTCGGCACACCGGCGAACTGTTAGAGGCGGCAACAGATGTCACGCTCTTCAGACTTTTCACCGGAAATGACCACCCCTGGTTTAATAGCCTGCCCGTCCAGCTATTACACACATAAATACGATGATTTATCTGCTTCAAATACTCCTATAAATATTGAGTAACAAAATAAAGCACATGCCGTTTCTTAATGGAACATTTTGCATAAAGGAGGAAATGTAGGTCTGAAGTCTAACAGTACAGTCCAACTTTCCAATTTGTTTTTGACATTTAAATGGCAGCATCAAACACTTTCAGGCCACTCACAATCTTTTAAAGTCATGGAACAAAACAGACGAGCAAGTCATGCATTTCAGGAACAACAAATAAACAAATGTAACAATAAAATAAATAACTGAACTAGTCCGGGTCGCTGAGACGAGGATGCCATCCTGACGGAGCAGCGACCGGAGTTATCGGGCAGTTCTGTCAGTTTTACTTATGGTCAGTATGCAGTTTTACTGTGGAAAGAGAGCGACACAAATGCGTATGAGAATAAAACTGAAGTACGCGGCTCTCAGAGAAGTCTTCTGTTGGAATTTTATATGTTTGAATTCGTGCACATAATGTGCGGATAACCAATAGGCGGCCATTTCAATAAATAAAAGTGCGATAAAAAGCGCACTCCATTTTGGTGTTATCGAAATAGTTACTTAGGCAAAACGATGTTGAAACATTGCAACAAATAATATATGTTATTACAAATCCGGGAACCATCCGCAATGAAATAATTCCAGGAAAGTTACAAAGGCCTGCGGAGTGCGGGCGACCACTACCTTACAATGATTAGCAGCAGACGAATACCTAACAATGAAATCGACGCATCAATTTTCATGTAGTCACTTGGCTTCATTGCATCAGAGACCACCAGCCATCAGGCGCGTAACCACGAGTCTGAAGTTACTGGGGACCACACGGAGGGCCACGAATTTTTTTTTTCAGGATCAGCCTTCGCCCGAGTGTGTGTGTCAGTGGGGGGGGGGGGAGAGGAGGTAGGCGTTTTTGGCCACACCTGCCAGTTATTTGTTGCGCGTGTAAGGAAAACCGCGACGCACACCGCTGCGAAACTTGGTATGGCTTATGATGCCTCAATTTCGCATCGTGTTTGAAAAATTTTGACCCCAAGTCACCTAAGGTCAGGTCACCAGGTCAGTAAAGTAACCATGCATCTAAAAAAAACTTTGTGACTCTGTCATTCCTACAGTTTAAATCCCAAAAGTTTGAATCTCGAGCTTTTGCATGAGGAAATCAGTATGAACAATTCGTATATCTCAAAGTTTTCACATCGGTGACCTAATGTCACGTCAACTTTATGACCTCTCAATTATAAGTTATTGCGAGAAAATTGAAATGCTCTTCTTTTGGCCGAAACACATTCAAACACCGTGACACAGGTAAACATGACACACTGAACGCTGACCCGGGAAATTGCACCTGTGACCCCTTCTATGCCTCTGAGCTCATCTCAGGTTATGAAACATCTCAACAGTTTTTTTTTTTTTGCCACAACTTTAGATAGAAACATGCTAGAGCGCTGAAAACACCACGAACGTGTTCAGCTCAACAATACACTGAGAAAACAGTTTCTCCATTTTCGGTTTCAGAGACCAGGTTTCGAGCTAATGTCCCCTATTCAAAACAGACCACACATTTTGAGAATACTTTCTGAGCAAGGCCATTGATCGCAGAAACAGATATCAGTGAGTACCTACCCATTATTGGTGCTCAAGCTTTAAAATTAGTCTCACTATGAAACCAGTGTTCAGCCCGATCCCCAATTTCGGTCTCACTTGAATCCAGTGCTCGGGCTAAAAATACATGATCCCTAAAAGGAAGCCTTACTGAAACCGTTTTTAAAATCAGACACATTTGAGGCTTGTTTCAGCACTCAATTGAGTCTTTATTCAAAAATGTTCTCAAAGTGTTTTCTGAGTGTACCAATGAAATGACATGCAACATGACCTTTTCCGTGACCTGGACCAGGGGTCAAATTTTCAAGTTGACCTTTTCAGGTCAACTTATAGTTAATTCGATGCGTCTCGACGAGACAAACGCGATGCCGGTAAAATCAGCGTCATAAAAGTTTGGAGTCCTAAAGCTATGATACAAAAACCTTTTCCGCAAAAACGCCAGCCTGGAAGCTAAACCGTTGACCTGAGGTCAAATCTGAGAACATTACTCAGAAAGGCCTTTGAAAAAGCTATCGAATGCGCTTTCCCGCAGCACTGCAGCTCTACTGGCTTCTGACTTATGAGCCGATTTGTGAAAAGTTGTCAAAATTGGGAACAAAAGTTCGTGAAAATTTTACTTTTGGTGACCTCCAGTGACCTCAGCGATGACCTGAGGCCAGTTTCACCAATAAAAAACAGACGGCTGCGATTATTTTTTGACAAAACGATAGTCTCAAAATGTCATTTACTGCTGAAAATACTAATCGCTGACTTGAAAAATGTAATAACTTAGCTTTCAAGTGCTATATTAGTTGGTCAGCAATTACTTTTTCCATCGGTAAATAGGATTTATAGAATATCGTTTTGTCAAAAAATAATCGCAGCCGTCTGCTTTTTATTGGTGAAACTGGCCTCAGATCAAAAATGGCGCAGGTAATTCTGAAAGGTACTGTAGCGAGCTATCTGTTGCTTTTTACCGCGTCTTTCTAGCTTGCTTACTTTCCGAGATAATATGGTGTGGCAAAAAGCCCTTGAGACCATTTTCTAAGAAGCGCTTCAAAAAAAGACCACCCACCACTCAATAGTTTAACCTTGGCACTTTGGTCTACATACAGAGTGCCTTATTTCCACCCACCAGCCCGTACCTTCTGCCAACGACCGTTCCAGTCATTGTTTTCTCCGTCACCGTTTCCGCCACTAGAAAACGTCGTCTTGTGACACATTAAAAGGGTTAAGCCGATAACGCCAAGCCATTCAATGACGGGTTTGACCTTTTGCTGCTTTTATCGCGACGACCTCCGGTGGTCCATTACCTTGGCCGGTACAGTTCAGGCGCTGTCAAATAATCCCACAAACAGGCGACAGGCGTCCATAAAGGATGTGGCGCAGAACAGCCACCTCACCAATCATTTGGGCACCGATAACAAGCTTGAGGTAGGCGTTCAACAGCAATGCCAACATAATGTTTCCGGTCTTAATGGTGCAGCCGAAATCCGGGATCTCATACAGATTGTCTGTTCAAATGGCGATCGTGCCGACCGATATGGTCAGAACCGTCACCGAATCAAGGGCAAGAGCTACCTATAGACACCGACATGGAGTCAAATAGTGAGGGAAATGGGCGAGAAGGGGAGTGGCAACGTGGATAAATCGGTGAGAATAAATCGGTGAGTCGGTTAAACGGGGTGGGTAAGAGGAAAGGTGAGAGGAAGAGGATATGAGAGGGAGTTGGTAAAAGAGAATTGGAGAGCCAATTGGTGAAAGGGAGCCAATGTGGAGGCATTAGGAAGAATGAGTCGGAAAAGAGCGAGTCGGTAAGACGGAGTGAGTATCAAGGAGTTTGGTGAGAGAGTCAGTGAGAGGGTGAGGGGGAGTTGGTGATAGGGGTTGCTGTGAAGGAGTTGGTGAAGAGGAGTTAGTGAGAGGGATTGTGAGAGGTGAAAAGGAATGAGAGATGAGGAAGAGAGAGTATGAAGGGACGGAAACTGGCAAGAACGGCAACGTCCACACAGGAAAGCCGTCCTAGTCAGTTTAGCTACAAGGTATACGGTAGACTGTATTACCACACTGGGTCACAGGATTTAGTATTTGACAAGCTGAGCACTGGGTACGTAAAAGTATGAAATAGTGAGTCACCAACCTGGCATGGTGAGCTACATATAGCGACTGGACACTGCTTTCTCGTGCCTGATACATTGGGACTGGCGACTGGTGCCTGACGACTGATGACACACAACTAGTGCAATCGACATCAACTGTGGGTCGGACGACACTTCTTTCAGGCAAGCGCGACGACAGCACCCCTTTTTGCCTCCCCTCGCGGCGGGGCACAAACCGTCGATAACAGGCGGTGCCACCCTCGCCGATTTCTACAGGTTTCTATGTAATACCGTAAATTGGGAAATAGTGACTGCCTGACTGGTGATGAGTGATGAATGAGTGGCGACTGGTGCCTTGTGTCTGATGCCTGTCTGTTTGCTAACTAGTGTCTGACCGCTGTTGTCCAGCGTCTGGTGACGGGTGACCGGTCAGCGACTGGTGACGGGTGAGCGGTCAGCGACTGTCCGCCGCCGACCGGTGTCCACCCCGGCCTTGTTGATTGCCGCCGCTGCAATATCCGGCGGAGTCCGCTCGAAGCCGTCAGATGGATCTCCCGACAATATGGTGCCGACGGCGTGGGTGAGGCGACCGGCTGTGACCTCAGCACAGATGGGGAGTCAGTTCGACCGCCGGATATAGCCATAAGCCTCCAGACCACCCGCTAACACCCATGTGACACCACCGACCGACATATTGTCGCCAGAAATGACCTTGTCATGAG